TTTGATCCAGAATAACAAACACTTTTTTAGATCTACTCAGAAGGGAACATGTAGTGTTTCAAAAGTAATGTCAGAAAGAAAGGATAAAAATATTTGAGTATTTAGTGTGTTCTTTTATTGTGGGGGCGGTGGGGTAGCCTAGTGGTTAAAGCGTTGGCTCGTCACGCCGAAGACCCGGGTTCGAATCCCCCCATTAGTACAATGTCAGGTGTCCCCCGCCGTGATGTTGCTGGAATATTGCTAAAAGCGGCGTAAAACTTAACTCAGTCAGTCAGTCTTTTATTGTGACAATCAATCTTCATCGCCTTTCTTCCAACAGGGTATATAAAGCACTGCTACAGTTATAACCGTTCCCTTGTTTCTTCCCTTCAGTATATTTAAGAAGTGTCTTTTTATGATCACAGAATTCCAACTTCACCACAGACCGCCAGTTTGGAATACCACTACTATGTCGTACTTTCATACAATTGAGCTACACTAAAACAAAAGAACCACGCAATTATTTATCACAGTATAGTGAGCCTGTCATGACTGAACTTTCTTAAAGAGCAGTATGTTGGGGATTTGGGGTTCTCACATGGTAACTCAGCCCCGCTCCTTGTTTTCCGTATTGTTCAGGGGACACTGTTTCTATTAAGCATCGTTAAAAATGTTTTATGTATGCAGATATTAATTGTGAATAAGACGTTAATTAGCAGGCGCTGTAGCCAATAAGGGGGCTACATCAGAATCAAGTTTACTGTTACAGATTTGTAACCTACTCAAGCTGTGGATAAGGACATCCTGTACCCAGACAGCATTGAGAAACAAAAGCCAAGGCAACGAGAAGCAAATATGTTAATGGCATAAAGAAGTGGTGTGGCCTGACAGTGATCTACTGCTTGTGTTGAATCACATTTCGTTAGGACAAAATAATAAATTCGCAGGTTCCGTGTCCAAAAGAAATCACCTGTTCAACAGAGTTTATATAGTACCACAGACACCTGTTGAAGAAGTGAAAGAGTCATTTCCTGTATGTAGATAGTATTGAAAAACAAATTGAGAAACAGGAATGTAAATGGCCTGATGCATTGTTGTGGTGTAGTTGATTCACATTGCTCTGTATATACACTGCGTGTGTTGGATCCGATTTCGTAAGGACAGCAATCCAATCCCGACGTAAGGTGTAACATTTAGCTATGTATTTCTTAACCACAACATCTGATATACACGCTGTATATCACGTTCACCAGAATCTCGGATCTCGGATCCGCTCTGAAAACTGTCGGCGATTATATTCATGCATGGACTTTTTTATTCATGGGGGATAGTACTTACAGTATTCGCTGGCAACACGCCCGGTTGGCTGTCGTTACTAGTTCTTTGTTCCCACGGCGACATGGGGTATAGACAAGCACCCATCAGTTTACACACCAGATGCCAGGGATACAGGTTTACAGAAACACAACAGAATGTAACATGAGAATGATAATCGTGCGTGTTTTGATCTTGTCGTACAGTTGGTGTACTGTTGTATAGAGTATATTGCGGATCCAGATATGTGTTCCACTATATCCTTCGCAGTGCCGGCGTAGTTGATCTCAGGTACGCGAAATCCCAGGAATTGTAGCATTCGTCACTCCCAAGTTACGTATCGTACGTAGCATTCATCACTCCCAATTTACGTATCGTACGTAGCATTCATCACTCCCAATTTACGTATCGTACGTAGCATTCATCACTCCCAATTTACTTATCGTACGTAGCATTCATCACACCCAATTTACGTATCGTACGTAGCATTCTTCACTCCCAATTTACGTATCGTACGTAGCATTCATCACTCCCAATTTACGTATCGTACGTAGCATTCATCACTCCCAATGTACGTATCGTACGAGAGAGCTCGCCCGTAGTCTGCCATACAGACCCTGAAAGAAACATACCCAAGAAAGCCCATGCAAGTCTGGGTTGTGGCAAGTCTAGATTTCCACAGATTTCCGAGACTAGTTGGTCTAGCTCGCCCGGAATGACCCGAGTTTGTCACGAATATCTAGATAGGTGATATGGCCGTTTAGTGACGCTTCGTCTACCTTATATTGTGTTACACTGTCAGTTTTATTTGCTGAGGGATGTTGTTTGATCCTGGAGTGTTAGTGAAATCATTATTCGGCATACACAGCCCGAATTATGGGCCTATTCTTGGCTTTGGTGAAAGTGCGATATAAAAGTCATAATGTGATTTTTTTTTAAATCGACGCCAAAGGGGGTAACTCAAATGTATATTCAAGACGACCCATGGAGAGAGAAGGGAGTTGTCTGTCACACAGTGAGTGGGTTTTATTTTTACGCCGCTTTTAGCAGTATTCCAGCAATATGACGGCAGTGGACACCAGAAATTTGCTTACACATTGTACCCATATGGGGAATCGAACTCGTATCTTCGGCGTGAATGGTTTAACCACTAGGCTATCCCTGTCACATCCCAGATAGCATTCAGACGTGGGCCCAACGTTGGCAATGGTTTTGCCAACATTGCCAACGTTGGGCCAACGTCCGAATACTATCTGGGACAGACCGTGAAAAATATACCTTATACAGTACATGACTATATGTTTGTCTGGGATACAGGGTAAGTGTATGTTTATCAAAATGCTACTGGAGACAGAGGATGCGAAGGGCAACATTCCGGCAACATTCTAGAGCAACATTCCGGCAACATTCTAGAGCAACATTCCGGAGCAAACCTAATTACGAAAGACGGAAATACGTGGTGATGAAGTGTTTCATTCAGAGCCACTCGGCTTATTCCGTAAGGTGCAATGACCTGAGCGATTGCGCTGAATGATTACCTCAGATACCAGAGCAAAAATTTACATAAGTTCAGTGACAACTTCAGAATTTAACGACTGTACGAAACACTAACTTATGCATATAAATGAGTTTACAGCACAAGACAACAGACGTTCACAGGAACCAGATAAGGGAATGAACTCCAGAGCGATGTAACGCATTCGGATCCTCTCGGCTATTTCCGATGGGATTGTCAACCCTGTGATAACTCGCCAGAATTGCAATCTTATATCTTGAACGGACTAATCCTCCTATTTAAAGTTAAGAACTGTTTTATATGATGTTGGTTCATGTCATGAATATCTAGTATTACATTAGCAGCGGTTAATCGAATGTCACTGTGTTATGGTATGAGAAAACAGGTAACTGCCTCTGTCAAACGAAGCATCAATATCATTATCTTGAACACTCAACACCAGACACGTATCTTGAACACTCTGAACACTAGACTGGCACAATTCTCTGAGAAAATAATTATTTATTTTAATTATTTCTAGATTTATAATTGACAACAATAAGTCCTACGTGATAAGACTGACCGCTTATCTTCGTTGACTTGATAAAGCCACAAACCCATGGACTTTCTTCGTTCCGTACAGCTATATTCAGACTTACTACAAGTTGTGGTGTTACGTTTATTTACCTAAATAGTTTTTAAGGGGATGCCAACTTGACTGGGGGATTTTTGGCTTTTTAAAAAAAATATTTATATATTTTTCTGATCAAATCGCTGTATGAAAGGAATTCATATTATGTTAAACAACTTCGTTTTGACAAGCGTCCCTTGTATCAAAGCAGCAACTGTTTCGTTCTGGGGTTGTTTTTTTTAGCTTCTCGTAAAATACTCGGGTGTTTCCCGTACGAATGAATAAATCACCACGGCGTTCTCTTTGTAATCAAGGAGATAAGGTTGGTAGTACATTATTTACACGGTTATTTTTGGAGGGTTTGGTTCGCGACTTCATGAAATTGTCAATCAATGTCAGTCATCCACGGCGACCGTGACACCATCAGAGTAAGACATCGGTATCTTACTTAGAGGTTTGTAGCCTGAATGTCCTGAAAATTGGAATTGGTCTTCAAGAACCCGTGCTTGTAAAGAGGCGACCAACAGGATATGGCGGTCAGATTAGTGGATAGACTGACATCTTGTTTCTATGAACATATTTTGCAAAACAAACTGTCTCTAAAAATAATCATTATGCAAAGGAGACCAGATAATTTATTCGTTGAAGTCTGGAATTGTCACATATTCTAGACTTGCATGGGTTCTTGGATATGTTTGTTTCAGGGTTTGTATGACAGACTAGATCGGGGACTTAGTTCAGTCTTGTCATCGTATCTCGACTGCGTGGGTCGGTGCTCATGATGTCAATCACCGTTTCAGACCCTATTGTTTACATACCGCCGTCATATTGCAGTGCGGCGTCGTTGCCAAACGGAAAAGAACCGCCTGGCTTTTGGTCTTCAAATGCCTATCTCCGTATAGGAAGGATTATACTTTGACACTTCATCAGAATTTGTTTGGACTGAATTTTTGTACATGTAGTAGGATGACATGCATTTTTTTCGTGGGAAATGTTTTGAAGTGTATTTATAACAGATCATTCATCCCCGGCCTTCTATGGTATTATTATCATCATGTTAATTCCCTGGACCTATCGGCCACTATGACTTTGTTTGGAAATGACACTCTACCTGTCTCATCTCTTATCGAGTTTCTGGAGGCGAATTTGATTGGACGGGAATATTTAGCGGCAGCCAATGGGTGTAGGGTATTTATCGTAGAATATTTGTACAGTCGTTCAGGCAATGGAGGATTGTTTAAATCTATAAGAACAGAACACCTGAATAAAGTTTCGTTATCATCCGATTATCATTAACATAACTTGACATCGTAAGTCGAGCGCATATCCACTTATTGTCAAGTGTGAGCCTTTCTAAACCTCTTCAGAAGACGAAGATAAAGACACAGAAGGTCATACCACTGGGATACACGGCTATTGTCGCTCCGGACCTGGCCCTTGCTTGTTGTGAGTTGACCTGTGCGTCTCTCCATTCAAGACATTATCTAAGACATGTAATCACTGTTTTGTGTGTCAAACATTTTGCCTCATCTGGCCAGTTCTCGCGTTTAGTATCTCGCCCAAGTTGGGAGCGTCAACACCATACTGGTTGAAGCGAGCAGACGACATTTCGTTTGAACCTGCTTTTTGGACAAAACCTGTCGAAAATTGGATTTGGGTGCCATTTGAGGACGTTTGTGTCATCGTGTGATCATCTCAACGTGCTTGTGATCTTTGTAAAGGTGCCTTGTGACGTCACAGCCCTTGACTCACGCGACGAAGTGTCACCAACGTGTTGTTCCCGAGGAAAACACTTCTGTGATAACTGACTGTTGGTAGTCTTGCCTGAGGAAGTGGTGAAGCTGGTTGGCGGTTTCTTCTACCACAAGACCAGCAACGCGGACGGACAGTTTGAAGAGGTCAGGAAACTTGAAGGAAGCTCTGTGAAATATTGCAACGCTCAGCACGGAACAGTTCATTGAAAAAGTCACACGGAAAAATCAGGCTGCTTCCTCAGCTTGGACACGCATTTGACAAAAGGTGTTGGAACTGAATTATATCGTTCATTTTTGAACGCAGATTGTAGGAGTGAAGATTGGATATCGGGACATCCTTTGAGCTCATCGGTATTCGAGGAAGATATCTTAGTCTTGTAGACAAAATGACGGAGTCGGTGTCTTATCAGAAGGTGGCCCAGCACAATGACAATCGTGAAGGCGGACAAGAAAAAGTGGTTATTGAGCCCGGCGAAATCAAGCTTTTACCCAAAATCAGCTTGCTGAATGGGTGTACTGTCATAATCGGGTGTATAATTGGGTCCGGAATATTTGTTAGTCCCAAAGGTGTGCTTATGTACTCGGGCAGTATAGGAGCGTCTCTTCTCATATGGATAATATGCGGACTATTTTCAATGGTAGGGTCATATTGTTACGCCGAGCTTGGAACATCCATCGTTCGCTCAGGGGCGGACTATGCGTACATTTACGAGGCCTTTGGACCGTTCGTAGCGTTCGTACGTCTCTGGGTGGAGTGCATCATCGTACGGCCGTGTACCCAAGCCATCGTAGCACTCACATTTGCGTACTACGTCATCGAACCTCTTTTCCCGACCTGTGAACAACCGGATCTGGCAGTCAGACTCCTCGCAGCGCTTTGCATACGTAAGTTTGGAATATGGTAATTTTAGAAGTGTCGCAGTGTGGAGCTCGTAAACATAAGTCGTTGATTGTATTAACTGCAATGAATATTTAGTGGCGCTCATAATATGAGACATTTACGCTCCGTAGCTTGTCCCACCAGGCGTTAATAGATATTTTTTATGAACAAAACAACTGGTTTAACATTGCGGGACAGGCTTGGTGGGTGGGAGAGTGGGTGAGTGAGTGATTTTGGTTTAAGCCGCTCTTTGCCATATTCCAGCAATATCACGGCGGGGGACGACATACTTAAAGATGCTTGCATTATACAGCTTGATATCGGACTCATAGCTCCATGCTCCCTGCATATCAAAAAGGCGAGTGAGTGAATTGGATTTAACTTCGCTTTTAGCGGTATGAAATCTCCGACATAGCGAAATTATAGGAAGGTGATCAGGGTGAACTGTGATTCTAATCCACGATCATAGATTTCTGGTGTATCCAAGGGACGCAACTCTGCACAGTGAAATGCGGCATCTCAGACGACGGGACCAGATGTGAAAACGAAGTAATGACACTGAATATCTAATTGGATGACTGTGGTGACTGACTATATGTTGTTTTATGTGTGCGGTGAGGTAGCCTTGTGGTTAATGCGTTTGCTCGTCACGCCAAAGACCCGGGTTCGATTCCCCACATGGGTACAATGTGTGAAGCCAATTTCTGGTATCCCCCGCCGTGATACCAGCGTTAAACTAAAAACTCATTCACTCACTGTGCTCGAACACGTCATATTCAAGCTTTATGGCGTACTTAGGCCAAACAGGCAAGTGCTTGATAGGATGAACAACCTTCTAAACGATAATGACTTGATTGCCGTTGTTTTTGCTTTGTCCGAAGAACAGCGAGTAACCCTGTGTTGACACGCATTTTCTCAAGTTAAATATAAATTACATTACTATATGAACATGTGGCGGAAAATTAGAACCGTTGGATAAAATTATGTCTAATAACAAACCGTGGTGAATGTTCTAATTAGACGTCTCTGGTGTCCCCCGCCGTGATGTTGCTGGAATATTGCTAAAAGCGGCGTAAAACCAAACTCAGTCAGTTTAATTAGACGTGTAGTTTCAAGTTTGTGATTGATATTTATCACAAATATCTCTCATCACGTTTGAATGGGTCCACACACACTAAATGAAATAGGAGATTAACACGACTATTCCCAACTGTAATTATTTAATCTTGTTGAGCTTTTGTGGTTCTGAACATTTTCCAGCTGGCTCCAATCTATCAGATATGTATTAATTATGCACATCTGGTTCTGTTATCAATTATATGCGATTAGCCGTGAATTTCCATGATTAAGAGTAGCTTTGTACTGGAAACGACTCCAATTTCCCGATCACTCGCCCCCAAATATACCCAGCTGTTTCGCATGCATATTCAGCTTTGAAAACCTTGTACCTTTTTTTAGTGCGGGGGGAGAATAATGCATTAGACCATCAACAGCAGCTGAATTTTGGGTTCGTATATATTTTAGATAAATAAAAATAACGGACTGCACTTTGGACACTTACCTGCAACAAAAGGAATCTTTGTTATTCAAAGGGTTGTTCCTTCGAGGTTGAATACAAGAACAGAACTACGAAGCAGGCTGAGCTGACACGGGTCCGTCTGCCTCGGGTTCCAAACCATATATCTTTCACCCTCCGCCTTTCTGCTATGCGAAAGCCTCATTATACGTAGCAAGTCTAGATTTTCTCGGATTCTGGTTCGGAATTTCCCATCTCACTTCGGATCCTTATAAATGGAATTCTTTGTTTCTTTCAATTTAATCTATATTCAGAGACTATCCCAGATAGCATTCAGACGTTGGCCTAGTCTGTCGTACAGACCCTGAAATAAATATATCCAAGAAAGCCCACGCAAGTCTAGAAAATGAAGAAAGTCTCAGGGCTCCTTTTCATTATATTTTATTTTTAACTATGAACTTTTTTTCAGTAAAATATGTTTATTTCAGAGACTAGTTGTTAGTCTAACGTTGGCCCAACATCCGAATGCTATCTGGGTATAATTGTAAGTAACTCTGGGTTAAATTATGGAGTGGAGACAATCGTATTGCTGCGATTTCTTTGGTAACGGGACTCGGACGTATTTGGCTACTCGTCTCTTCAAGATCCGTCTTTTGATAACCAACAGTACAAAGCTTTGGTTGCTGATTCTTGGGGCTTCTCTTGCATCAGGAGCAATGTGTTCGCTTGGTATTTGTTTTGGTGTTAACCTTTCTGCGTGTGGCGAACGTCCTTGGAGGAAGTAGGTCGAAAGACCTTGACCTTCTCGGATGTTTTGGCGGGAATCTGGACGTTGAAATTGCGGTCACGGATAGTTCCTGCTGGTTGTGTTGATGAATTGTTTCAAAGGCATTTCTTAGAAGTTGACGGATGACAAAGTAGGGGCTGTGTATGGATAACGTCTTTGGCGTAGTGTTCGTGGCAGACAGGTGCGTCGTGTCGGGCCAAGAGAGAATGGCGAGTGTTGTCAGATTGCCATTCGTTGGTTTCACATTACTTTTTCAACTAGCCTTGCGCATGCGCAGAGCGTGTGAAAAATGTCCACTGCATGCTTCCGGTTTGGTCATATGTTTATCGAAAGTGTAAGTGCACGCTAAATAAAAGCTGTTATGAAAATTATGTACGTTGTGACAACTGTTCGTAGCTGAGTACATACTTCCATTTGCCTCTGCTTTTCAATAATTGATAACCTAGTTTGGTTGCAATTCCATCAGAGATGTGTTTGTTTAGTTGTGAGAAGGGGTGTGCAGGACGGACGGTGGTGGTGAGATGTCTTTATACAGTGAGTTAATATTTAACGTCACATCGGCAACAGTCAGTCGACCAGGGCCCCGTTCCTCAAAGCGATCGTAGCGCTAAGGTGATCGTAACTCCCATACTTTAACATAGACTTACGACTGTCGTAGCGCTACGATCGCTTTGAGGAACGGGGCCCAGGTGTATTACGACGGTATATTTTATCTCTCACGATTTTATCGCAGAATCTTATCACATGATAGAGTCGTCGATGCGTTTGATAGATATGCAAATTAGATCACCAAACAGGAACTACTTTTAGTATGTTCTGAACATGACTTATGAGTGATGTGTTATAGTGCTGACAAACTATTACTTAACGTTCTCTGAATGGTATGACAGTCAGTGTTTTCCCGAATTGTTCGTAAGTAAACAACCGGCCGTAGCTGGGGGTCATTTGGCACTATATCATGAAAGGGGCGGTTCACGCGGTTTGTGTATTCTTACGCGTTTGCGTTTTCGTAAGTGCCTGGTTTGAACAGCGATATGTCCTATAACTTCGATTATTTTCAGAAGGAAATTGTATGAATGATAATATGTTACCTTCATGTGGATCAGTTACTTAAATATCTCTTGCAAGGGACCCTTTCTTTATTTGTGCTAATCGGGACCTGTAAGACCTTCTTTGCATTGACAAAAAATCTGATTTTGTTTTATGGGTTGGTTTAAAATGAAAATAACATAATCTGTGGCTTGGTTATTTCGTGTAAAAATACATTGGTTTATTACAGCATGGCTAGGAAATAAATTTGAACCCACATGATCACAAACATGTTTGAAGTTTTGTTAACGGTTTATTTATTGATTTTCGAAAATTAGCAGTCAAATATCAGTATTTGTTTATAATGCAAAAAAGTATTTTAGTTTTGTTATGAAGGTTTGAACTATATTTTATGTAAGAATTATTTTAAAAGAAATCAAGTAGATTTTATTTGTTAGGAAAAGTATAAATTAAACGTAAACCAGTAACAAAGATGAGTTGTAAGTGAATGCCAAACTTGGTAGGATAGCATTTTCAACATTGAATTAAAGAGCATATCACATGAATTCAGTTTGTTATTCGTGATCTCTAGAATAGATTATTTGTGAATTTAAAAAAAAGAAGTGTTTTTACATAAATTTGGTGTTATTTACTAAAATGAGACATAAAAAATGAAATATATCCAAGCCAGGCAGGAAAGGAGCCAGCACTCTTTATATTAATAATGTCACACTAGTATGGTCAGTGGTCATTGTGTTGACAAATTAACACCGTCAACATGGTCCAAACATGCCACATAAGTATTTTGTTATTGTTTCACTGAATATGTTGAATAATAATCAACGGCTCACTTGTTATTGTGTTCGTTACTCAATATACTATTTATTACCCAACATACATCATATGTATCATATTTGTCTCATGGTGGATTCACTGCAGACCTACAACATGGCTGCCTGTTTTTTCCCCTCACAGCCAGTGCGGAGGCCCATGACCATGAACACAAGATCATGTGTCACCAAGTTCCAGTATTGAATGACAGGTTCATGACCTAAAGTATTAACATACAGTAAAGGCTGGCTAATTTCAAGCTCCAATTTGTCCATCAGCTCGGAGGTCGTCCTCGCTGACCTTGACATCTGTCTTCATCAGTCAGGTGGCACTGGGATGTCATTGAGTTGTGTTCTCATCAGCAGTTTAAAATGCTGTAGCCATCCAACCAGTTTAAGGGAGTATGTAACCTTTTGTCTGCGTGTCAGCTACTCTGGTCCAGATAAGCCTGAAGTTGATGTTCAGGTTGTAATGGCTGCCTTGTTTATGGCTTTTGGTCATGGGTGTTAAACTTGTGTATATTTTGGCTGATGGTACGTCTCTGTTACTGCGTCTGTCACATCCTCTAAAGGATGCTTGACTTGTGTTACCGATTCCATTGTAAGGATTGCCGTTAGAAAACATCCCAGCAGCCATGTTTATCTAGTCTGTCTCACAGTAACTGAAACCAGTGTATGAAATAAGTCCCATCCAACCGCCCTTGACAGTCTAGATTTCTGATGGACGGTCTAAATTTACAGCTAGCCAGTCCAATGGTCTGGTAAATTTTTTAGATGTTCCATACATAAATTCACCATATTTGGTCAGGATAAATCCATTTTGGACTGGTAACATTTTGAAGT